CTCTGCATATTTCATTATAGTATCTTACTTTGTCGTCCTGAGCTGCCTTTTGAAATTTTCTGTTCAGCTCTTTGATTTCTTGATTTCTTCCTTTAGCTTTTGCTTCTCGGTTCTCTAATGCAATACTCAGAGTCTCATCTGACATCCATCTTGGTCTTCTTCAAACTTTGTAATGATCTTTTGCATTCTTCATCGACGATTTTCTTGATATCCTCCCAGAGCTCATTTGGTCTATGCTCGTTGGTGCTCAAGGCCTCAAACCTGTTCCTGAGGTGGTTTTGAAATTCGAGTGGGACTTAAGGTCAAATCTTGGTTCCCGTGGACTTGATTTAATTTTCCTCAGCTTCATCTTGAACTTGCATATGAGTAGTTGGTGGTCTGTCCCACAATCAGCACCCGGTCTGGTTTTCTCTGCTGATACTGGGAAAATGGGAAAGGGACCCTTGCTGAGAAGGCCATTGCCAGACAAATAGTTTGGGGATTCCAGGAGGGGAGAGAGATGGAGCTTTCCTCATCCCCATGCTTCACAGCTGTTTCCAAATCTTCAGTGTTAGCACAGCAGTAAGTCCTTGGTGTCAAGAGATTCTTCCTCGTCATTTCTCTGTTGTTAAAAACACACCATCTGAAGTATCTCAGTCACAAAAGGAAACATACTGCATGGCGCCACTGTTGTAAAACAGGACTGACATGGGAGTTGGGGGAAGACTGGAAAGATGGCTTCAATAATGTATACTGCATTGAAGCAGATGAGGGAGAAAACTGTTTAAAAGAGATATGTGATTAGGTATTTCTGTCATGACAGGAGTCCAGAGCAAAGGCTGCATAGTGGAGTGGACCTGCGGGAGGGTTTGTAAAACAATGAAAGAATTTTTCTTTTACTTTTCCAAGAGGGTAGTATACTAGTGTTGGGAGTATTGGGAGGGGAGAAAAGTGCAACAGTGAATGAATGGGGAAAAAACTTGGACAATGAATAAAGAATGTCAATTCATAAAATACACACACACACACACACACACACACACACACACACACACACACACAAAAGAAAACAAAACACAAAACAATCCACACATCTGTATCCCAGTTCCTCACTGAGCTGGATCATATGAAGAATATACAAGTCTTTGCTTTTTTATTTTTCCTCATGAGGGGAGGCAACAGTAAGATAGTAGGTCTGGTGCTGGTGTCCATGTACCACTTACTGTTATGATTATCAAACAGACCCAGTGAGATCTGCTCTCCATCTGGAGTTTAATATGCTCATACCTGTATTGTGAGAGCTTGGAAGATGTGAAAGGTCTCAGCAACGTCTGGCCCTGGCTCTCCCAGCACCACACCGTTAGTAATACGTCTCGGCCACCATGGGGCAATGGTCCTGAAGAAAGCAGCTGAAACTCTCACCTCCGGTCACTAACTGGGGTTTATTTTTTTTGTAGATGTGTGGGTGTTGAGAGTTTTCTATACATTTCAGCTATCAATCTCTTGTCCATTTGATTATTTGCCTTTTCTGGAGTATTCCCTTCTTTCTAGACTTTTCATCCCAGTAAGGACTAGAGTCCTCACTTCCTCTGGTCCCCTCTCTGCACCTGCCAGAGGCTTCAGCCCACCCCCTGCTCCCCTCCAGTGGGGCACGCCACATATTGGGTGCAACAACTCAGAGCCCTGGCCTGGACCACTGCATCTATATCTTCCATCCATATTTCCTTCTTTCCTTCCTTCCACTAGTTTATTTACAAAATTCAAATACATTGTTTGCATATCAAATCATTCCCTTTTCCCTCAACCCCCATCAAATTGTGTGACCCCATGATTAATACACACACACACACACAAACACAATTCCTCACGCCCCTTGGATCCTCATACTACATTAATGGTTTTGTACAGTATTTGTCCCTGTGGGACTGAGTTAGTTCACTCATCATAATGCTCTTCTGTCCTTGTCAAGTTAGGTAATAATTTTATACTGGTATACATACAAAGTTCATAAAGTTCATATACATTGTTTTTTCACACCAGTCCTTTTGCTTTTCCTTTACCAATCTCTTTTACCCATCAAATTGTGCAACCCTATGTTAAAGCCTCCCACCCCCACCTGATCCTCATACACGCTCTGCAGTGATGGTTCATGGTAGCATTATTCATCATAGCAAGAACATGGAAACAGACCAAATGCCCAACCACAATGGAATGTATTGAGACATTATGGTACATTCACACAATGGAATACAATGCAGAAGGCAGGAGCAGTGGTTTTGTAAATTACTACCTAACATTGGAGGCGCTGGAGAGCATTATGCTGTCTGAACTAACTCAGTCTCATAAAGCATCATTCTTAAGATGTCTATTGTACTTAAACCCATGGTTACAGTCACTGAGTCAATCCATCTCATTAAGACTTTTCCTCTCCTTTGCTAAGTCTCTACTTTTCCAAGCATGAAGTAATTTTCCAAGGGCTCTTCCCTCCGCTAATGAACCCAAATCTTTTTCTTCCCTCTGCTTTGTTTCAGACAGGGAGAGACCAGTAGTTGCTATCTATCTATCTATCTATCTATCTATCTATCTATCTATCTACCTATCATCTCTTTAATAATGTAATCATTAAAACTGTGTCAAGTCGGTTATGATTCTCACTATAAAGTAACTGTTTTGGGCCTTTTACACTTTAAACTCTATGATGTTAATGAGGTAACATGAGAGGTTATTATGTAATGATATGACCAGACCTAATTCTATGTAGGGGAAGCCTTTTCAAGGATGTGGCCTACATGAAAAATACATTTAGACTTTCTCGCAAAGTAAGCTAGTTTTGGCTCAATACTGAATCATTACTTCTAGACTTGACCCAATGGCCTACCTAACTGTTGGCCTTGGACTCTTCAACTTCCAAAGTTAGGTATCTGCTTCTCTGCCTGCCAAACTTGGACTTACCAGTCTCTGAAACCATTTGCTGTCCTGTTGACCTTGGACTGACAGCCTCCTCAGACACCTTTCTCTTGAAGTCTGACCCATGGACTTTGGAATTCCAGCCTCTATAAGCCTATGAGTAATCTCCTTTCAATAAGACTGGGTCTCTCTCTCTCCATGCATATAAATACACATCACTGATTTTGCTTTTTTGGATAATTCAGGCAAAGATAATCACTTGGTTGTTTTCCCTCTCAACAAGAAACTGAAGAAAAATCATTCAACAGATAAGAGAAATGCTGTTTCATTAAAACAATTCTGTAGTATCTCCTTAACCCTAAATTTTAGTTTTATTCACAATTATTTTCAACACAACTTTCAGGAGTTTTACATAGAAAAGAATCAGAAATACAATTAAAACAATGAATATTTATTATAAATCAAGTTAGGAGATTTCAAAATTAAAGGCAATAGTTGTTGTTGTTATGTGCCATTGAGTTGCCTGCAACTCATAGCAACCCTATATGTACAGGAGCCCTACACCTTGCTCTATCCTGTGCCAACTTGACCATCTCTGACACATTTACTCCCACCACCCCAATCACAGAATCGATCCATCTCATCAAGGGTCTTCCTCTCCTGTGCCGTCCCTCCACTTTCCCAAATATGATGTTCTTCTCCAAGGACCAGCCCCTCCTGCAATATGCCCAAAGTATGTCAGATAAAGCTTCAGAATCCTTGTCTCCATGGAGCAGCCCAGCTTCACCCTCTCCAGGACACACCTGTTTGTTCTCCTAGCAGTCATGGTATATTCCACACTCTTCTCCAGCACCACAGCTCAAAGACATCAATTCTCTTTCTATCATCCCTAGTCACTGTCCAACTCTCCAATGCATAGCATGCAACTGTGAAGACTATAGCCCAGGTCAGGCGCACCTTAGTCTCTAGCTTGATGTTGTTCTTCAGTACTCTGGAGAGGTCCCTGACAGCTGATCAAAGATAATAGTAGGGTAAGACAAAGCACTGAGAATGACTCCCAGCTTGTGGGCAAATTTACTTAACATCTGAGGCTATGTTTTCATCAGTCAAATGAAAATAATACTTATATTTAATAAAAGATATGTTAAGATCAATGGACAAAAACATGAAAATGCTGCTGTGGTATATAGCTATACGTTGGCTTTTTTAGCCATTAAAGTTAGCCCCCTCTTGTCTCCAGCTACCTTACTGCAGACATATGGTCTTGCAAATCAGCATGGTCTTGCAAACCATCAACAGGTGTGGGCTACAATAAGAGAAAGAGTGCTTCCCACACTGGAGTGCAAGACTTGAGGTGAGCAAGACTTGTGATGAGAAGACTTGAGGGAGACTGGAGAAGATGCTGTTGGTGAGACCCTGATCATGGTGTTGGAGACACTGTGGCACTGCTGTAGAGAAACTGTGGCAAGGTGTAAACATAAGAGCCCTGAGAAAAAGGCCACACAGTTAAAGGCGTTTGTTGTTCTTGCCAGATACTTGAAGGAGAAGCTGACTTCTAATGTGCAGGATGTTTGCTTTATTGGAGGTAAACGTTGTATTATTTGGACTTGACCGCTAACTGAAACTGGAGCCTGGACTAATTGAGGAATTGTACCTTGAAACTGTTGGACTAAAACTTGGGCTTGTTTAGTGGGATATTCTTTGCCTTTCCCACTCTTCAATTTCCTTTCCTAATGCACATCATTGTTGGTACTATAACTGTGAGTTAGCAATGAATAAACAAACCTCTTGCTGTTGGTATGGCTCTATAGGCACCATAAGACTGGGCTAAGGTCTCTTTATCTGCTTTCTGCTCTGCAGCATTTAGGAGTTGTGTTATTTTCATTCTCTCTGGCCCTTCCTGAGAGATGCTCATGACCTTGTGATCCTATGTCCCAGATGGTAATCAATAAAAGCTTAAAAATGTAACACTCATTCAAAGTTTGGAATAAAATTTAATTTCTTTTATCATGATAGTATGACACATATTCCTCAGTCTTGGGTTATTTTTAGTCTCAATGCAAAATAAACTATCACACTCTTTGAAAATATTACATTTAAATCTTAACATTTCTTCAGTCATCACTGTCACTTCCTGAATCACTCAGCTGCAAATCACTTCCTAAAGTGAAAAAGAAATAGAAAAATTAGATTAATTATTAAATAATGTACTGATTTCTACATAAAACATTGTATATACCAGAACTTCTAAGCTGATTATGCTCAGACAGTATTTTGCCATTAATAATCAGATGCCTAAAAAAAAAAAGTTTAAGCCTTTGAGCTGTGATGCTGGAGAAGAATGCTGAATATACCATGGACTGCTAGGAGAACAAACAGGTTTGTCCTACAGAGAGTGACACCAAGCTGCTCCTTGGAGGCAAGGATTCTGAAGCTTCGTCTGACATACTTTGGACATGTTTCAAAGAGTGACCAGGCCTTGGAGAGGAATATCATGCTTGGAAGAGTGAAGGGACAGTGCAAGAGAAGAAGACCATCTAAGAGATAGATTGATACAGTGGCTGTGGTAATGGGGGTAGATGTATCACAGACAATTAGGTTGGCTCAGGATAGAGCAGGGCTCAGAGCTTTTTTTCCTAGGGTCGCTATAAATTTCAGCCGACTCGGTGACACACAACAACAATCAGATGCAAGCTTAAACATGATTTTCAGATATGTAGAAAAGTTGGGTTTACTCTTATTCTACTTCACTTATTTAATAACACCATGGAATCAGAGAAAATGTGGTCTAGAAGACTAGATGAATACAATTTTGAAGCGTGAAAAAAGTGTGAGTATTTATTTAAAATGAAGCACTGGTATATTAACACAATACAATGCTGTGCTGCATTGACAAACAAGGAACTCATGAAACATACAAAATGGGTGACCCTAGAGGACATTATGCTGAGTGAAATATCTCAGTCACAAAAGGACAAATACTGCATAGTGCCATTGTTATAAAAGAAAACTGACATGGGGGTTGGGGGAGACTGAAAAAGATGGGATAAATAATGTATACTACATTGAAACAGATGAGGGTGAGAACTGTTTACAAGTGCTATATGATTAGATATCAAAGGGATTGAATTTGGGTTATGAAAGAAAGACAAAAATGAAGAATGACCTATCAAAGGAACAGATTTGGAAAAGAAAAGACACAATAGCAATTTTATGAAGTTATGTTTGAGATACTGAGTAAAATACTCAAGTATAAGTACATGTCAGTTGTTGTTGTTATTTTAGGTGCCGTCGAGTACAACTCATAGTGACCCTGTCAACCAGATCTGAATCCTGTTCTATCCTGTGCCACCTCATCATCTGTGATAAATTAGAGCCCACTGTCACAGTCACCATGTAAATTCATCTCTTTTGGATTCTTCCTCTCTTTCACTGACCTTCCACCTTTCCAAGCATACTGTTTATTTCCAAAGAATAGCCTCTCCTAGAAACATATATAGCACTTGTCTGTCAGCTTACTGTACTGGTATAACTTGTGCATTTCTGTGATGCTGGAAGCTATCTTAACAGTTTTTCAAATGTCAGAAGGGTCACTCACAGTGAACAAGCTGCAGCAGCGCTCCTAGATTGAGACAGACTAGAAAGCAGGATTGGTCATCCACTTCCAAAATAACAGGCCTATGAAAACTTAATGAACAAAAAATTCCAAGGGTAGCTATAGTATTAGAATGTGTCATAGGTAATTAGAAATATAGATATAGATGAGATAGAGATAGATATATATAACTCAAGATAGAAGTTGGAGTTGAAGATAGTGATATGATATTTTCCTATTCTCTCCCTAGCTCCTCATGTCAGCCTATTTTATAACAGCGGTATTAGGCAGTATTTGCTAAATTTTTTTTAAAAGATGGGATAAATAATGTATACTGTATTGAAACAGATTAAGGAGAGAACTATTTAAAAGAGAAATATGATTAGATATTATGACAGGAGTCCAGAATGAAGGTAGCATAGTGGAGTGCACCTGGGGGGAAGAGACTGAATAACAATGAAAGAATTTTTTTCTTTTACTTTTCAAAAAAGAAAAGCAGATTGGGGTGGAGGGTTGAGTAGGGAGAAAAGTGCAGCAATGAATGAATGGAAATCCAAAGTGTCTGTAAACTTTCATTAAAATCAATTTAAATTTTTTTTTACTTTCATTAAAATCAATTTAAATTTTTTTTTGGTGTGGAGATACTAATTTAAAATTTTTTAAAAAGTAGATTCAAATATATGGCTCAATTTGTATTCTGGTAAAACCATGTTTGAACGTTTACCAAGCGAACTATATAACACTTGATGATAAATTACTTTTTAATCTTATCTTGACATTACATTTCATATGTACAGTAATTCTATTTAAGGCAGTAAAGAGAACTTAAACATGTATCTCAGAGTGTGTGCCATTGAGTCAGAACTGACCCCTAACTGATCAGAGGAAGTAAAATGCATGGGAAGAGATTGCCCTTCTTTCTCCCATGAAGCAGCTGGAGACGTGAACTGCATGTTTTGGGGACTGCAACACAGTCCCCATCACTGGAACCTATAATAAGCTATCACTTTGACCCCATTGGTAAGAAGCTGCACTGCATGATATTCGTGATGGCACATATTCTTCAGAAATACAGCTCAAATTTCTATTAATACTGCTGAAATTATATTTGTGTTACCTTCAAAAATTTTTTGCTATGCATGATTTTACTATAAAATAAAATGATACTGTTTGGCAATTTCTTTTTTTTT